GACCGTGGAGCACCTCTGCCCGGGAATTTCCTAGTCTGTGGGCAATAAAAACACTGCGTCCACTCACCCTCTGCGCTTTCACTGGGAGCTGCAATCCTGAGCTGTTCCTAAACGGCCATCTTGGATCGTCTCCCCCCCCCCACCAGCCCCCGACACCTTTGACTTCTAAGGGAGAAGAAGAATTTGAACCAGACTGAGGGCAATGATGATTAATGTAGTCACATGTCCAACCTCAAAATTCTCTGATATATAATAAAAAGACACTTGTTTTGAGAGATAACCTTAGTGGTCAGAGTCCTCTAAAATCTGAGTGTCAATACCTCACATCCTGAAAATAGTGAAAGAAACTTTAATAGAACAGGAAGGCAGAAAATCAACCTAATGTCATACTCTAATAGATCCGGAAAGTCAGAGTTTCTGTCACCCATTTTTCTTTTATGTTTATCTCCCAATCTGAGCTGATATGCTTGGAATAGGATTGATATGAGTATGGGATGAAGCATGGAAGAAACAAAACAAAAAAAAAATCAAGAAATTAAAACACCTTGGAGGTTAATCTCTGCTATTTAAACTTAAAAACAAATGAGAAAGCAATACCTTATCATGCTTACACGTTATTGAAATAGATGCAAAAGTTTCTCTGACTTTCTAACATATTTTTACCCCAACCTGATGCAGTTCATGTTAGATATTTGACTTTGAATGTTAAGAATAAATTGCTTAAATGGAAATCAGTTTGTGATTTAAACCGTATTGTCTAAGTCAGTGCTGTCCAATAGAAAATAACACAAAATGTAAATGTGAGTTGCATATCAAATTTTAATTTTCTAGTAAGCAAATAAAAAATTAGAAGGAAATAGACAAAATTAATTTTCATAATGTATATTTACTTATCCTAATATATCCAAAATATCACCATGTCAAGTAATAAAAAAATAAGAGATTATGACTTCCTGGTGTTTTTTGTACTATCTTTGAAATTCAACGTATAATTTAAAAGTAGAGCACATCGTGATCCCAAATTGCCAAATTTCAAGTAAATAGGCACATATGACTAGTGGTTTCCATATTGGACAATGCAGATCTAAATGTTTTATAAACATTATTTTGTTGGAATGAAAAGATGCAAAAAATACGGACTACTTATGTTTTTATCAATATCTAACAGTTACAGTTACATTCATATAAAAAAGAAAAAAATTATACTCAATTTTATTATTTTAATTTTTTTAGGTTTGCCCTATAAAATACTTTCAGAGTATAACTTTTAGACATTCCCCATCTCACATCTTATGTCAAGTACGGTGAATTACTACTTCCACATTTGATGTTTAAGTTTCAATATTTATGAAGACCTCATTAAACATTTTTATTACATTACGCATAAGTGAATATACATTGATCTGGACTGAAGCTGACTAGTTGACAAAAATGCCATGTTTTATAGGCATTTAATTAAACATGCATTGATTTCGATTTTAGTTCTCTTGTTTTGGAAGCATTACGTATGTTTTCTGGCTTCCGACATTTTTGGCCCTTAGAAACATTACAGGCTCGAAGCACTGCGCGCCTAGTGCCAAATGCCTAAAACCACCCTGGTTCTAGGGGCGCATGTCACCCTGCCTGCTTAAAAATTATAGGAATGTTTTTATTCCTCCAGCCCTCAGCGCCATTGTCACCTACAACAGGCTTTTGCTCACTTGGATTTTACCTTCAGGATATTCTTGTTTGCTTTTTTTTTTTTTTTTTTTTTTTCCCCCATGTTTTTTTTTTCCCTCATTTTTTTTTTTTTTTTTTTTTTTTCTGTTTGCGATTTTAGGGAGGCAAAAATTGTGTCTGTTTTCTTATCTACTACATAATTAAAGACAGTGCATTATGGACACTCAATGAATTTTAGATAAGTGAATTTAGAAATGCTTGTTAAAAGAACATCTCAAAGCTCATTTTACCTAAATGCAGAGTAAAAGTTGTCTATCTGGTAAGGATCCAGGTTTTCTCTGAGTTGCAACCCATCTATAAAGTAATTCTCACATTGTCAGTGTTTCTACTATATCCAGGCTATAAAAGCTTTTTTTGAAAAAACTTAAATTTATAAAGACATAACATTGTATCCATCACTTACATTTTAGTAAGATCATTCACTTTTACATTTAATAATTTAACTTGCTTTTTTCTAGATGGCCTGTATCTTTTAATTCTCTAACTTCAGGGACTTTTCACTTTTTAAAAATTGTGTTTTCTTTATTTTCTGTATTGCGGTTCTTAATTTTGGCATATTTTGCACCACCAGGGGATATGTGGCAATGACTGGAGATACTTTTTTTCTAGTCACAAATCAGATATGGACAGGAATGCTATTGTCATCTATTAAGTACAAGAAAAAGATCCTACTAGAAATCTTAAAATGCACAAAATAGCTTCCCAGCAATAATGAATTATCAAGTCTAAGATAATAATGCTGAAGTTACAAAATCCTACTCTAACTTATGATTAAAAGAGTGGCCTGCATTTTTCTCCTTAAAATGATTAGCCAATTTTTTAAAAACCTCATTTCTGTTTATAATGCACCTTTTGCTTCATTGTAACTAATATTTTCTCAAGCCTGTAAAAAACTCAGATAATTTATCCAAGTTAAAATGTTGAATAGCGGTATCCACTTACTAATATAATTCTTTTATAGTCTTTCTTCTCAGTTTCCTTAAATGTTGGCAGATACAATGAGACTTGTGATGAATGTCATCATGTATTTTTATTAATTTAATGTATCTTTGTTCATCTATCTCGTAGGTCCCTTTTAGATGGAATATAATACAGCAGAAGCCTTTTCATCAAAAGGATTAATGCCTGCATTATCATTTCTGCAATAAAATAAGAAGTTAAGCAGTAGAGGCCACAGACCCCTCAACCCTGGATTCCACAATTCTACGTTAAGTGTTGGAGTTTTTAATTACTCTGCTGTAGGAAAGCCTTTGCCAATGCTTACAAGGAACTGTTTATCCCTGCTTCTCTGGGTTCTGTTTGATGGAGGTCTCCTAACACCACTACAGCCACAGCCACAGCAGACTTTAGCCACGGAGCCAAGAGAAAATGTCATCCATCTGCCAGGACAACGGTCACATTTCCAACGAGTTAAACGTGGCTGGGTATGGAATCAATTTTTTGTGCTGGAAGAATACATGGGCTCCGAGCCTCAGTATGTGGGAAAGGTAATGGCGTGTTTCTTTTGACAACCACTTGATAGGAAGGGGGAATATGCATGGTGTATTTTGTATGGATTTTTTGCACAGGAGTTGAACAAACCAGTGGCTAGAACACTGGAATTGAAATCCAAGAGACCTGTTTTATCTTCCTGACTCAATGGCCCGGGTAAGCTTCAGAATATCATTTAAACCCTCTTTCCTTTCATTTCTGATCATTTTAATGAAAATAGTATATATTTTGTTCAATGTTTTTCATTCTCTGCTGAAGACATGAAGTTAAAATGTGAAAATGATATAAAGTATAATTATAACCATAGTTAGAAGTATAGTATAAGTATAGTTATATCATTTTATTGCTCATGGACAGATTGGAGTTGTTTAGCAACAAGAGACACAGAGAAGAATCACCAGGTCTAAATAATCTAAAGTCATCCAGGGCTTGTTTAATGACAAGAATGTGCTCCTTCTTCTTTCCCGTTAAAATATGATTCACCATTTGGATTGTGGTTCTGAAGTATTTGACTTGGCTTGCTTAAGCTTTATAATTTCTATATGTTTGGCAGATATTTATAAGTGTATTTATGGCTGAAGTAATAAATTTTGGAACCCAAATATGTACACATCAACAGAGCATACAATTTTAAAATCTTATAGCAACTTTATGGAAATTTAATTTTTTCACAAAATACTTGGTGGCAACTATCTGTTTCAGCACAGTTATCTTTTACTGCTTATTTTTTTCATGAAATTTTTCATCCACGTCTAGAAGAGTATAACTTGTCCATCACAACAAAAAAATTTCCCCCAAAAAATAAGTATTATATTTTATTTTGATTTTGTGAATTCTTTTCACATTTTTTAAACATGTTGTCATGGCCTTTAATTAAAAAATAGCTGGTTATGGAGAGTTTAAAATAAATCCAAAGCCACAGATGAAAAACTGTAGTAGAAAGAATGTTTAGAAATGGATATAGAAGATCTTGAGCAGCAAATCACTTGAGTTTCTGCTAAAGAGATACATAATAGGTTGTATGATTTTTCATATTAGGTCAAAGGGAAACCATTTAGGATCTGAATTATTCTACCACATTTTTTTAAAAATTGCCTTGTGGAAATGTATTTAAAGGATATTAAATGATACAGCGGGAAAGCTTTCTAAATAGAATCTTTGTTGAAAGGGAACATACAACCAGAGTTTCCACTAAGGTGTATATGGCCCCAGGCAAATGATTTTTGCAGGGCACCTATGTTTGAAAATTGAGTCACCCCAAATTAAATCAGTCCATAAGTACAATTCTGGTAGTCCAATCTCAAAGATCTTACAAATACACACACACACACACACACACACACACACACACACACACACACACACACAGACACACACACACACACACACACACAGAAACACACACACACACACACAGCCATTAAGCAGGAACTATCTCCTTGACAGTCTGCCTATCAGGAGTCAGGGTGTATTCAAGTGGCACTCAGACAACACAATAATGCAACCCCTGAAAAGCCACAGGATACCTCTGAACCCGTAGGTTGAGTAGAATGTCAAAGAGAGCCCCAAATGATAATTGGACACTGAGACCCAAACAGTTCCAGCCCAGACCAGAATGCCCTTCTCAGATCACATTTCTGCCAACAAATAGCCCTAGGCACAAAAGTCTTAGAAAATTCTGAGGAAGTCAGTCGAAAATATAGAAGTCCCCTGAGGTTACTGCATAAAGTCTCTCCTTGTATAATTCCTGAAATATGACTGTGGAATGTAACAATCACTAAAACATTTCTATGGTAAGATACTTTCATGTAGTTCTGCTACACTTGTGGTTTTTTATTTTATTTACTATAAGAATGGGATTTTGAAATTTAAGACAAATGGAATGGTAACAATCTAAAGCTCTGGAACAAAGATATCAGTTTTCCCAATTCTGTTTATGATAGAAGCTAGACATCATATTGAGTTTCCTGACAAATTCTCAGTTTTTAATTAGAGAAGATCCATAGACCTTAATTTCTAGAATTGGAGGTAATAAATTTGAAATTAGTTAAAAAAAAATAAAACTGACTTTTATTCAAACCTAGATAGCTGTAGCATTTCACCTCCCCAAACAGTCTATGGGGTTGTATATGCAAGTTTTTGTCTGACACTCTGAAATTCCACTTTTATAATTGCTGTAACAGTGTAGAATTCATTCAGTTTATTTAAAAGATGAACTAGTAGTTATAAATGTAATTAAAAAGGAGTAAGTCTAATATCCAACCTATTATTACATTCAATCAGCATTATTTTCACTGGTACATGGCTCCACATTGGTAATGGGTAATGAACAACCATGGTTCTCAAGAAACGTACATTTCTAATGCAGATGAAAGAATGTTTGCCAAGATTTTTTTCCTACCAGGAAACTAATTAAATTTTAATTAACTCTGTCTTGATGCTTCTAGATTTCAGAATAGAAATATGATAACATGGGGACCAATTTAATCTATTATATATGTGTGCATAAACATATAAATATATTTATACTTCCACTCATTCCAGAAAGACTTTGAGATTACTCATAGAAAAGCAAGATATTATAAATAATATAGAACTCAGAGTTAAGGAAAAGAACTAATGCCAAAATGCCAAGGAAAATTGTCAACTGGCTACAGTTCAACCTTGGATAACTCGGGGGTTAGCGGAACTGACTTCTCCCCAGCACAGTTGAAATTCCAAGTGCAACCTTGACTCCCCTAAAATTTAACTACTTATAGCATGCTGTTGGCCAGAAGATTTACTGATAGCCTAGTCAATCAAAACATAATTATATGTTATGATACATACAACATAAACATATTATGTTTATATATGTATATATGTATTATATACTGGATTCATACAATAAAGTCATCTAGAGAAAAGAAAATATTATTAAGAAAACCACAAGGAAAGGAAATACATTTACTATTCATTAACAGGAAGTGTATCATCATAAAGGTTTTCATCCTCATCATCTTTACATTGCATAGGCTGAGGAGGAGGAAGAAGAGAGGCAGGATGGTCTCACTGTCTCAGAGGTGACAAAGGTGGAAGAAAATCCATATAAAGTAAACCTGTGTAGTTCAAACTTACATTGTTCAAAGATCAACTGTACTATCTTCAGCCTCAAATATGACTTTCTGGTTCTTTGTAGAAAGGGCATATATGGAAATCATTAATTTCTGTAGTTCGCATTGTCAACTCCACATCTTTAGGGACCCAATGATTTTCTTTCTTTTTTTTTCTTAAATATATATTTTACTGCATTTTAGGTTTTGGGGTCCATGTGAAGAACATACAAGATTGTTGCATAGGTACATACATGGCAATGTGGTTTGCTGCCTTCCTCCCCATCACCTATATCTCACATTTCTCCCCATGCTATCTCTCCTCAATTCCCCACCCCTCACTGTACCTCCCCTAGGTCCCCTCCACAGACGCCAGTGTGTGATGCTCCCCTCCCTGTGTCCATGTTTTCTCATTGTTCAACACCCACCTATGAGTGAGAAAATGTGGTGTTTGATTCTCTGTTCTTTTGTCTGTTTGCTGAGAATGACGGTTTCCAGGTTCATCCATGTCCCTACAAAGGACACAAACTCATCGTTTTTTGTGGCTGCATAGTATTCCATGGTGTATATTTGCCACATTTTCCCTTTCCAGTCTATTGTCGATGGGCATTTGGGTTGGTTCCAAGTCTTTGCTATTGTAAACAGTGCTACAATGAACATTCATGTGCATGTGTCCTTGTAAGAGAAAGATTTATAATCCTTTGGATATATACCCAGTAATGGGATTGCTGGGTCAAATGGAATTTCTATTTCTAGGTCCTTGAGGAATCGCCACACTGTCTTCCACAACGGTTGAACTAATTTACACTCCCACCAACAGTGTAAAAGTGTTCCTATTTCTCCACATCCTCTCCAGCATCTGTTGTCTCCAGATTTTTTAATGATCGCCATTCTAACTGGCGTGAGATGGTATCTCAATGTAGTTTTGATTTGCATTTCTCTGATGACCAGTGATGATGAGCATTTTTCATATGTTTGTTAGCCTCATATATGTCTTCTTTTGTAAAGTATCTGTTCATATCCTTTGTCCACTTTTGAATGGGCTTGTTTTTTCTTGTAAATCTGTTTTAGTTCTTTGTAAATTCTGGATACCAGCCCTTTGTCAGATGGGTAAACTGCAAACATTTTTTCCCATTCTGTTGGTTGCCGATTCACTCTAATGACTGTTTCTTTTGCAGTGCAGAAGCGGTGGAGTTTGATTAGGTCCCATTTGTCTATTTTGGCTTTTGTTGTCAATGCTTTTGGTGTTTTGGTCATGAAGTCGTTGCCTTCGCCTATGTCCTGAATGGTTCTGTCTATATTTTCTTCTAGGGTTTTTATGGTGTTAGGTCTTATGTTTAAGTCTTTAATCCATCCAGAGTTAATTTTAGTGTAAGGAAGGGGTCCAGTTTCTGCTTTCTGCACATGGCTAGCCAGTTTTCCTGACATCATTTATTAAACAGGGAATCCTTTGCTCATCACTTTTTTTGGTCATGTTTGTGAAAGATTAGATGGTTGTAGATGTGTGGCATTGCCTCCAAGGCCTCTGTTCTGTTCCATTGGTATAAATCTCTATTTTGGTACCAGTACCATGCTGTTTTGATTACTATAGGCTTGTAGTATAGTTTGAAGTCAGGTAGTGTGATGCCTCCAGTTTTGTTCTTGTTGCTTAGAATTGACTTGGCTATGCAGGCTCTCTTTTGGTTCCATATGAAGTTTAAGGTGATTTTTTCCAGTTCTGTGAAGAAGGTCATTGGTAGCTTGATGGGGATAGTGTTGAATCTATAAATTACTTTGGTCAGTATGGCCATTTTCATGATATTGATTCTTCCTAACCATGAGCATGGAATGTTTCTCCATATGTTTTTGTCCTCTCTTATTTCATTCAGCAGTGGTTTTTGTTCTCCTTGAAGAGGTCCTTTGCA